AAATCTCTTCTTCAGGTGATCTCTAAATTCAGGTGGGGTATTATCAAGGTCATATTTTGGCTCTCATGGATGGTTTTCATGTTTTTCAACTTCAGTTGGAATTTGTATAAGAGCAATTGATGGTCTGTTCCACTATCTGCCCCTGGCCTTGTTCTGACTGATGATATGGAGCTTTTCCATTGTCTCTTTCCACAGATGTAGTCAATTTGATTTCGATAATTCCATCTGGTGAGGTCCATGTGTATAGTCATCTCTTATGCTATCTAAAGAAGGTATTTGAAATGAACAAATCACTGATTTTTTTCAGAATTCTATCATGCAATCTCCAGCATCATTTCTTTCACCAAGGCTGTATTTTCCAACTACTGACCCTTCCCTCTTTGCGTCCAACCTATGTATTCCAATTGCCGGTAATGATCAATACATGTTTTTTGTCTTTTTTAAGGTTTTTATTGTGGAGTGAGTGAAAGTTTACAAGGCATGTCATCAGTTTTACATTCAACAAATCATACACCTTGTTTCATTACATTGATTATAATCTCCTCCATGTACCATCAGTTAACAGTATTTCTATCCACTCTAGCTTTTTAAAAAACAAACAAACAAAAAACTCCACTGAGGCACATATAATAATTTACATCTCCAAAGGGCACATTCTACTAGTCTGCTCCTGGTCACCTGCTCTTAGTCCTTTCTCTTCTTAGTCCATGAATCTAGAGTCCTTAGCCGCTCCCCTTCCCCATGCCCCCATCTTTCGTGCTGCTATTTCTCTGGATAAGGTCCCGCATTCTGCTTGTGCATTCTTCTCTTGATGGTCCTAGGGTCCTCTGTTTCTGGACTGTAAGATTAACCACTCCCCTTTTGTTGTTACTTCTACTTTTTCAACTGTGACAGTCACGATTAGTCATGATAACAGTTATTCACTACTGAATCTTATGAATCTTATACCATCTCTTTTTACCACACCCATCTAGACAAGATGACAGCTATTCAGTGGGTGATCAATACATCTTGATTGCATGTTTGATCAATTTCAGATTGAAGAAGTTGGTAGAATTCTTCTACTTCATCCTCACTGGCTTTAGTGGTTGGTGTTAACTGGTTTTCCCTGTAGGCACATGTATAACAGTGTTGTACCTCATGACTGATCTGGATATGTTCTTTTTGATAATGAACGCAACACCATTTCTCTTCGTCATTCCCGGCATAGTAAACCATGTGGTCATCATATTCAAAATGGCCAATACCAGTCCATTTCAGCTCACTAATGCCTAAGATATAGATGTTTATGCGTTCCATTTCATTTTTGACAATTTCCTATTTTCCTAGATTTCTACTTCATACATTCCATGTTCTGATTATTAATGGACTGTTTACAGCTATTTCTCTACATTTTGAGTTTTGCCTCATCATCAAATTAAGGTCCCACCAGCTTGCCTCCCACGGGCTTTACTCCATTCTTGTCATCATGGTCAACTCTACTTTGAGGAGTAGCTCTTCCCCAGTCACATTTTGAGTGCCTTCTAACCTTAGCGACTCATTTTCCGGCACTAAATCAGACAGTGTGTCACGGCTATTCATAAGGTTTTCAGTGACTAAATATTCGGAAGTAGTCCATCACTCCTTCTTCCTAGTCTGTCTTCATCTGGAAGCTCATCTGAAACCTGTCCACCATGGGTGACTCTGATGGTATTTAAAATACCGGTGGCATAGGTTTCAGAATCACAGCAACTCACAAGCCACCACAGTATGACAAACTGACAGATGAGTGGTGGTGGTGAAAGTTAGCAATAATATAAATACAGCCTTAAAGCAATCCTAATCTTTGACTCGTTAATTTTACTTCCAGGAGTCTCAGCTATGTGAAAATGTGCATAAAACTCACTGCCATGTAATATGATGAAACATTGTGAAGGGCAGCACATCCTAAAACTTGATCATTCAATACATGTAACAGAACATGTAGCACATTTATATGTGGTGCTGTAGGAAAAGCACTGGACTGCTAACAAGGCTGGTGGGTTCAAGCCCTCAGCTGCACCTTGGAAACCCTATGCAGGGTCACTATGAGTCAAAACCGACTGATGGCACTAACAACAACATGTACTTATTTAAATGATGGAAGCTACAGCGACATGGGGAACATGTGAATGTTCTTGTTTCTTAGGAGTATATGTTTCTATTCAGCCTATGATCAACTTGTGCATGAGAAAATGTACACAGAAAAAAAAATAAAACACCGAAAGGAGATATGCCCAAATGTTAATGCTGTTGCTGTTAGGTCTGTGAAGTCTGTTCCAACTCA